GCTAAGGGGGGAAATAATTGAACATGGGGTCAATTATGGCTGGAGGGAATAAGGAGAGTCTTGAGGCATTTATAGCTATGTCAGTTAGGAATAAGAAGAGTATGGGCATTTATAACTTGGCCAACTGGGCATTTATTGAGGGAGTCAGTTATGCTGTGAGAAGAGTATAAGAAGGGGCTTTGGGGGATGGGGGAGATAGGCTTTTGTTGAGTGAAGATTACTATGAGTGATTGGGAGAGCCGGCGGTATCTCGAAGAACTAACCAACTGTTAATGTTCTTCTTTTCTTCTGAATGAGTACCAGTTCCTTTGTTGATGTTCTAGTTGTGTGAATTCTACTGTGAGTCTGGGAATTGTGTGTCAAGTTTCTGGGACCTAACAACTGGTTAGGAAGCCAAACTGCCAAAGGCCATTTTTGGTGGTGGGTTAGATTCTTTGTCATTCTTATCTATGTTTAGTATTTGGTCTTTAAAGAAATCAAGGATGCATTGCCTGTCTTCATCAAAGCAGATGAAAAACAATCTTAGTTATTAGCTATCAGTGGAGTCAGCATGCTTGCTTATTTGGGGAGGATCTTTAGTGGTAATGTTCAAGACCTTGTATCTATTAGTTGATGCCTTGGTGGTGAAAGGGACATTCTTTGAATTCTGGTGGAAGGGGAAGCTAATAGACCTTGTATCTATTAGTTGATGTCTTGGGACTCATCCAGGTGATATTAGTAGTGTTGATAAGTTCAAATGAAGGTGATAAGGTTCAGGAAGATTCCTGAAAAAGTGGAGGTTGTTGTGGGGGAATCGGTATTTGAAATCCGCATTTGGCCTGAATCGCTGCCGACGGTCCGAAGTTGGATGTAGGAGATTCATGAGAATAATCAGTTCCGATTGCAGGGAAGGAGCTCGGAAATCTCTAACACAGTGGTCTTAGAAGACGAGGGAGAAAGCTCACTGCCGCAAGAGTTTCATAAAAGTTCACCGAGTTTCAAACTGCCACTAAGTAGCTTGCCAGAGGTCGATTGAGGGGAAGAAAGTGGTCGTGGGATCAATCTGATCCGTCCACAAGCAGTTCCTCTAGACGGCCAGGATCGTCCTTAGGTTGAGTGCTTTGAATCTTGCACGCCAAAGTTAATGAAGGGAAGAAGTGGGGGCTTTCCAAGGGTGGAGGATTTAAAAATTCTTATAAATCAGTGCATTAAAGAACTACACGTGGAGTCAGGCGTGGAGATCTCGAGGTTTAAGGGGAGGGAGGCTCGACAAGGGCCCGGCTTGGATTCCAAGGAAGATGAGGAGACTCAGATTTGGACTCAGGTTCCGGATCCAGGTCAAGCTAGTTTTAAGTCTTTACCTACCCGCTCTACTCAAATGGCGAAGAAACTTGAAGGTAAAATGTTTCTTAGTGAGCCTCGGTGGCCCATTGGTAGACAAACAGATTATAGTCTGGTTCGGTTGGAACTGACCTGGGTTAGTCTGCCATCCAAACAGCAGTTGAATCCAAGTGCTGGTTCTCCTCTAGACCACATTCCCAATCCTGATAATATGGAGATGGGTGGTCTAAGTCAAGCTGCTACTTCATCCCAAAAAGTTCGGTCTTCTTCAAAAAGTGCGTGGGAGATGGACAACAGGCGGCAACAAAGTCAAGAGCTGCCTTTGGTGCCAGTGGAAGAGACAGTGGAAGAGACTCCGTTGGTGGTGACCCCTATTGCGGTGGTGGGTAATGAGGTTCATAGTGGGAATGTGGAAAATTGTCTTGACCAATCCAAAGAGTTGGGAAATAGCAGTGGAAGCCTTGAGCAAATGAGGAGAAGCAACGGAGAAGTCTTGATAGGAAACAAGGGGAAAGCGAGTTCATTAGCCACGGAGGTAGGCAAGGATAGTAAGTCTGAAAATAATCAATCTTCTTGGGTGATATCGAAACTTCTGGGGCTGGGGACTTTTCTGGGAATATCGCTGGAGGGATGGAAGCTGATACTATTAAGTTCTTGGAAGGAATTGAACAAAGAGTGCTTATGGAGAAGGGAAAATTGGCAGCAAAAAAGGGGGATTAAAAACAAAGAGAAGTAGAGAAATGATGAGATTAACTTGGGGTCTGAATGATAAGGCGGGGAGCAGTGAAGGGGCTGCAAGGGGGTCTAAGAAGATGTGAGGTGTGGGTCCTCTTCTTTAGTTAATTCTTATGGAAGTGAAAATTCTTTCCTGGAATGTTAGAGGGCTGGGGTCGGGAAGGAGGAGGATGATGGTATGTGATTCTTTGAAGCAATCGAAGTCAAAGATTGTCTTGCTCCAAGAAACTAAGCCGGAGAGGGTTGATGCTGCTACAATCCGAAGTTTTTGGGGGGAGGGTCAGGTCAGATGGAAAGCCTTGGCTGCCTCGGGAAGTGCTGGTGGAATTGTGAGCCTTTGGGACCCCACTTTCTGTTCTTTGGTTTCTTGCAGAATTGGTAATTTCTCAATCACTTTGAGGCTGAAACTACAAGATGGAAAACTTATTCAAGTCACAAACGGTTATGGTCCTGTTGATTCTAATTTTCGGGTGGCTTTTTGGGCAGAATTATCAGATTTGAGAGACCCTCAGAACTGTCTTTGGGTAATTGGGGGTGATTTTAATGCAACTATTTCGGTGGATGAGAAGAATACAAGGGGTAGAAGAGCTGGTTCGATGAACATGTTTGCTGACTTCATAAATAGTATGGATCTAATGGACGTCCCAATTCAGGGTAATAGATTCACTTGG